CGGGGGGGGGGCGCGGGGTGGTGCCTTTCCCTGGCCTGGGCTGGCCTGGGTGGCGGAAGCGGTGCAGCTTGAGGTCGTCTTGGGAGCTGCGGCTGGAGGATGCATCGCCACGCGCCCCCGTTTGGGGGGTTGCTGGGAGCTGGGGACAAGCGCTGGCCTTGGCGCCAGTGCGTGCAACCAGCCCGGCTGAGCGCTCCGCCGTGACCTCCTGCTCCTGCTGCCCTTCTGCCACGCAGGGCATTGATGTGCTGACCAGGGCGGTAGACGAGTGCAAGGCCCAGCATAGAGGCGGCCAAGGGGCGCATGGTGGTCAAGGAGGCACCGCGGGCGGTCAGCGAGAAGGAGGAGCGCGCGCTTGAAGAGGAGCTGCAGGTGCGGGGCGCTGGAGGGGGCGGGCAGCGCGATACGGGGCAGCGGGGAGCCGCGCGACGCCTCCTGCTGTGGGCACGCATCGGAAATGAGATGGCGGCGCCGCTGCTCTGGCTGTGCCCCCTGGTGTGCAGGCCGCGGAGGCGGCCAACCAGGAGGTGTCTGGCGACACCGACGAGGAGGAGGAGTTTGAGGAGGGGCAGGATGTTGACGTGGACGCCGGCCCCGCGTTGGCGCTGTGAGGGGTGTCGAGGCGGCGGACCTGCCAGGCCGCCGCCGCCGGCGAACCCTGCCCGGGGTGACTGTCACGGCAGCGCTTCCCAGACCCCCAGTTTTGCTTGTTTCCGCCCGTCGTTGATGCTGCCGCGCATGTAAGGGCTGCCAGTCTCAAAATCGATGCACCCTCGGACCCAGGGCTGAGCCGAGGTGAGGCCTATATCGCCCGCGCCCAGGCGCCGATTTGGCACACTGCAGACTGCATCGCTGCTTGTCGGCCGCCTCCCCTGCACTCACACACCATGCAGACCGTGTGCGCGTCCACCAGCTTCAGCCGTGTGGCTCTGGCCAGTGAGTGCAGCCGGCCGGGCCCGCAGCGCAGGTTGCAGCCCTCTATACAGTCTGGGTGATGGTTGGGGACGATTCTAGATGCTAACGCCGCCTCCTTGTGCTGCCTGCAGAGCCCCAGGCCACCCGCACCGTGGCCGGTGAGCCTTGCTGCCGGGTGCCCTCTGCGGCTGCTGCCGGAGCTCCCGGGGGCGCGCTTGCAGTGCACCAGCTAGTTTGCGGCTTCAAGGGCCGATGTCGGGTCCCCGATCACACATCCCCGCCCCGCCCCCATCCCGCCCTGCAGTCCGCGCCGTGGTGTGCCGCGCGCAGCAGCAGACCGCCGCCAAGGCCGCAGCAGCTGCAGTGTCCGTGCCGGCTCTGCTGGCGGCGCAGCCCGCCTTTGCGCTGGTGAGTCTGCAGGGCGGCTAGGGGCGGCCAGCTGGGTGGGGTGCGGTGGGAAGGGTGCGGCGGCGAGGAGGGGAGAAGAGAAGGAGGGGAAGACGCAGCGCAGCTTTGCAGGCGCGCCTCTGCCCACCGGCCTTGCCCACCGCCCCTGCTCCTCCTCCAGGTCGACGACCGCCTCAACGGCGACGGTGTGGGCCTCATCTTCGGCATCAACGACCCCACCCTGTTCTGGGTGATTGCGGGCGTGTTCACCACCGTGTGGGCCGTCTACTACGCCGCCACTCGCGACGTCGACGGCGGCGACAACGTGAGTGTTTGGGGTTGGTCGGGGGCGGGGGTTGGGCAGGGCGGGCAGGGTGGGTTGGGCGGCAGCGGGCGCCAGCGGGCGGCGGGCGCCACCCTGGCGCGTCCCGGCTTGCCTGGCTCACTTTCTGATGCTTCTTGGGGGCTTGTTTGGGTGTAGGACGACGAGTTCGGCCTTAAACTCTGAGAAGTCGAAATTGTTTTATGGCCTGCTTGATGTACCACCCTCCCGAGGCTCCCCCCGTCCGGCGCGCCGACCCGACCCGAGAAGAGAATCCTAAACTCCTTGGCCTGCATGCCACCGTGTAAAGACAGTGCACTATTTGCACCTGGCACAAGCAGGAGTTGCAACAGCGCTGGGGCTGGGGCGGGGCGGGCAGTCCCACAGTAAGGCACGTCCCGGCGCTGCGCACTGCGGCGCCTTTGCCAGCGCGGCGGGAAACAGCGGTCAGTCTCCCTCTTCTCTTTTAGAGTCATTCTTCCCCTTAAAATACAAAAAAATGGCTGTTCACTCGATGCATGGGGCGTGAATGTGTTGCCGGCGACTGATCGCAGCGCCGCAACCGCTGCCGCTGCCGCTGCGCCGCCGCCGCCGCCGCTCCCAGCCGGCGGGTGCCCGAATCCCACCTGGTTTTCCAGCCACGTCCCTTGTGTCCATCCAAGGCAATCCAGCCTTCCGCTTGTTAGTTAGTGCTCCAGGTTGGACTATGCTGGGCCTGCTGTATCGCCAGACGGATCCTCTATCTCCACCATAACAGCCTCCCAATCCTCCTCTCATTGGTCCCCATCCTCCTCCTCTCATTGGCCAGGCGCAGGGCTGCTCCCTTGGGCACTCGACTTCTCCCCCTCGGACCTGCTGGCTGCTGGCGGCCAGCAGCGCTGGATCGGGCAGCTCTGCCCCTCCTTGGTGCCCTCCAAGCTCCCCTTCCCAGCTCCCCAGGTCTGGGCTGCAGCCTTCGCCCCACCAGCTCGCCCCTGGCAGCTCGCCCCCCAGCAGCTCAGCCCCCGTCCTGACCTCTCCCTCCCGCCCTCTGCTGCGCCAGGATGACGCGCCACGGCCTCTGGCAGGTGGCTGGACCGCACCTGCAGCCGATCAACCTGGAGCAGTTCCTTGCGCAGCTGCCGCCGGGCTGGTGTTTGGGTGGGCCGACGCCTACACCATGATGCTGCCAGACTCCCTGGCCATGGCCACCCGCTTCCACACCATCCTGCAGCGCAAGGGAGGTGGGCTGGAGGTGAGCGCGCGGGCTGGGGCTGGCTGCCTGCCGCAGGGGGTGCTGGATGGTGACAGCCCCGGCGCAGCGGCGGGAAAACCGCAGGTACCCGCAGCCCAGGCTGAGCGGTGACCCTTGCCCTCCCTCTCTTTCCTCCGCCCCTGCAGGTGCTGCTGGATGGTGAGAGCCCCATCCACAAGCACGTAGACCGGGACCGCTCGATGACGGTGAGGCGGGCAGGCGGAGGCTGGCACCCAGCGATGTTGCACGTGCCCCCTTGCGCTGCCACCCTTGCGCTGCCACCCCCGACCTCTCTCCTGGCTGGATGTTGCAGGGCACCCGCGCAGACGTAGTGCGCGGGGACGAGTGCGACAGGCGCCAGGCGGCGTACGAGGCGGCGGGGATCCCGTGCCGGCTGGCGGAGCTGGAGCAGGACTTTCTCGGCGTCCTGCTGGCCAGGTGGGGCACGGCTGCAGACACCCTGCCCCGTCTCCCGCTGCTGCTGCTGCCCAGCCGCCCGCCAACCCACCAGCCCAGCCCAACCTTCCCTGCCCGTCGCCCCGCCGCTGAACCGTGCCTCCTCCCCTCCCGTGCCGCCCGCGCCGCAGCACTGGGAGCATCCGTGTGTGGGCTGAGCAGGACAGCGATGCCGTGCTGCCGGTGATGCGCATCCACCTGAGCGGCAGGGAGGTGGACCTGGTGATGATGCGCCACGACGACAGCGGGTGAGCCATGAGCCTGTTGAGCGGCGCACACCTGCGGCGCTGCCCCCCCTCTGCTGCTGCTGATGCTGCACCCCCCGCACCCTCCCCCCTCCTTCCCCAATCAGCAACAGGCGGTGGGTGAAGCTGGACATCCAGGGCCTGGTGGACGAGCTGCGCCTCACCGACCCCATGATGACCTACCAGCCACCCGGCGCCGAGATGCAGGCCCGCCTGGTAGACCTCTGCTGCATGCTGCTGGAGGCGACCTGCAGCGGGGACTACGGCAACCCAACGCCAGGTGGGCCAGGGCGGGGTGGCGGCGAGAGGGAGGAAGGCTGCGGCCGACTGCTGCCCTGCCTGCAAAACGTTGTGTCCCGCCCTGCCACCACCCTGCCACCGCCTTTGTCGTCTCTCTTGACGCGTTCTCCTGTGCCGGTGCCGCCTTGACCTGCAGGCATGGGGTTTGCATCGCTGTGGGGCCTGTGCCAGCTGGCTGTGCGGGAGAACGGCCCCAAATGGCTGCGCCAGATAGAAGCCGGCAGGGGCGCAGATGTGGTGAGCGGGGCTGGGGGCGGGCTGTTGCTGCTAGGGCAGGCTGCTGTTGCTGCCGGCGGCACGGCAGCACATCGAGGCGGGTTGGCCCAGCTGGCACACTAATGGTGGGCTGCGATGCTGGGCGCCTGTCAAGAGGCCGTGCCCAACACCATCCGCCGCTGCCTGCCTTGCCCGCAGTGGGACGAGATGGCGCGCTTCCTGCGCAGCCCCCACCCCGGCTACCCCAAGGCGTTCTTCATCTCTACCAAGCACATGGAGATGCAGGTGGGCCTTTTTTCTGGGGGCTGGCCTCCGCGCAGGGCGCCGCTGCCAGGCACGGCGCATGCCAGTGCCCCCTCGGCTCCCGGCTCAGCGCTGGCTTGCCTGGCCAGGTTCACGGGGGCCGTTTCAACAGGCAGCCCGTGGTTCATTGGCTGACCCGTTCCACTTGCTCCTGCTGCATCCATGCAGGCGCTGAGCAGTTGCTGCATGTGCTGACGGTAGACTGCTTCCACCTCGGACCGGCAAGCCTTGTGGCCGTCAT